TTTTAATGGAATGATCGCGTGTTAGACACGTGATGTCGTTTAAAAAAATGACACGTGATCATTTTCGTCAAAACAACTTGTCGGTTCATCTACGTACAGACCAAACTAATACAAATTGAATACTTTAGAGACTAATTTGATACAATAAGGATTAAACTTACAAAAAATATATACTTTATAAACTAAAAGTGTTATTAACTCAACGATATCTTATAGTTTTAAGCCATGAAAAAGAAGATGGCCTCTGGGCTGGCTAAATAGTATGGAAAAAAAAATAGACTTTAGGTCCCAAATTTTTATAAGAACCCATAATTTTAGGTACATTACTAGCCCACAAAAAAAAAATCATTAAATGTTAAACCCTACAAAAAATTCCCAAGAAATTAAATTCAATCAAAATTTTTATTATAATAATTTGGGTCTATAATACAATCTATAACATTAAAAACTTAAAAATTAAAAAAATACTCAAAAGTCAACTCGTATTTATTATCACGCACTTTCTCTCTCTCTAGTAAAAAAAATAAAAAACAAAAAAAAAATGAAAAGTAAACACTCTCCCTTCAAGTGGTAAAAAATAAAAACAAAAACAAAAGTTGAAATTTATTTCTCGACAATATTAACATATTCTTCTTTTGTCTTCCTCTCACATAAAAAATTAAAAATAAATTAATTTATTTAAAAAAATAATACTAAAATTAAAAAAAAAAACCTCCATTTATTTTTTTTTTGGTACATCGAGAAAATAAAAACCTTCATTTAAAAAAGCCCCTGGGTGGCCTTTAAGTGTCGTTGTCAACTTTTGCAAATTGTACAAATAAGGCAACCCTACTGACCATCAAGACAACATCACAAATAACAAGACAAGCAGATAAGAACAAACAGTCCCATGTTTATTTGGATTTGAGTAACAAACCCCAACTTTGGAAAATATCTCAACCTGAAAAACGTTTATTTTTCACAAACAAATTCGTTGTGTAAATCTTCTTGGTCATCCACAAAAATAACATAGATGTTTATAACAATTTCTTCCTATCTACCATTTTAACCTAATTGCAAGCTAACATTAGAGAACTAAGTGGATGGTTTAGCATTTAAAGTAAAGAAGATAACATATTCAAGACTAGTCATTATTCGTACTTAAAAGTACTATATAACTTGTAAAAAAGTTATAAAGTAATAAATTTGTAGACTCGCTAAAACTGTTAAATGTTATTGAAATCATATGAAAAACAACTTGCTTATTTCACCCTAATTTATTCTTGTAAAGAAAATTGAAGATGAAATGCAACTAAGGGAGATAGGATACTTGAATTTTAATAGTATGAAACAAAAGCAATCTTCTAAAAATGCATCAAAACAATACCAAGCAAATTAAGTCTATTGTGGGGGGGGGGGGGGGGAGGGGGGGGGGGGAATTAACCATTCACTGCAAAGTGAAAACCTTACCTTACAACAACCAACAAAGTTTTTACACATTCGAGATGAAAATAGGACAGAGAAGTTTTATTATTGGCAATTGGAGAAAAAACCAAATCCAATCATCCAAAACTAAACCTAGAACTCGACAAACAATTCAGAATATAGGGGTCATTTGTTGGGGTAAAATTTCATAATTTTACAAATATTAATTAACAACATCACTATAAAAACACAATATAACAAGAATTCAATCAAATATATAATACAATAATATGCGATTAGATCAATACAAAATAGACAATAATAAATTAGAAAGAGTTGGTCTGTGATATCTGGGAGATATGTGATTACTGTTTTAAAGCAGTTGTGCTTTCTCACGTGAAGCTACTAATGGACATAAGCAACTCTAAAATCCAACCCAAATATGTTCACAGCAACACCTCCTCAAGGATCACGTCCACTAGAAGATTGGGGTAAACCTGACTTGAATCGTAGTTGTACAAAAACATAATCAGAAGATACATCTACAATATATATGGAAAAAGTATACATACTACAAAAACATACTCCCATTAGATTATATGAGCTCCTTTTATATATGCTTGAGAATGCTAGCCATTAGAGGCTATTAAAGTCCACCATCTAGTAACCCCCACCACATAAAGGCATTCAAACGTCCAATTAAAACAAAGTATAATTACTCATTTAAATCATATAAAAATTCAATTAAATCATAAATTAAAAGTGATCCTTTAAAATATATAAAATAAATTAAATGAGAAATTTTAAAGCTTTTATTTTTCAACAATCTCCCACAAGTTTTAAAATTTTGAATATCAATGATAAATATAATTTTATACACACACACACACACATATATATATATATAATGAACATAGAAAAATTATGGCAACTATAATAATGTGCAATAGGTGTAAGTGTCTTTCAGACTTGAACCTCACTTAGTGTTGACTAACTCCCTCTGAAAGATCATAGTGACCAAAGGCTTGAACTAGATCCTTTAAGCCAGAGTTCAACTGTCACACACAAAGTACTGATGATCAGGATTCGCGAGTTAGTGCGTTTAATGGACATGTACTTAATCTTGATTCTCATGAGAGTTTCTAAGAATAGCCAAATTCTCATAGTCGCAGCTTCATGACTACTCTCAATTAGGTGAGCCCTCCAAGGGTACATGTGCACAATACATTGCAGGAGTGTTCCGGTCTCGGTCTTATTCAGGATAAAATCTTTTTTTACTGTCACACTATATATGCACATCTGCCATAGGGATGAGCATGGAAATACCTCCGTTTAGGATATTTCCTTAATAACGGTGCTAATGAGTCACGTAGTGTGGATTGTTTCTACCCATTGAACTTCCTTTGTGAGGTCCCCAATCACATAAGTTGAGTTACCTCCCTAGGTGAATCCCTTGCAGGCTTAGGCCTACTCCCCTCGACAGTTGCATTTTAATGTATTTTTTGTAAGTGTTATTTGAAAGACAGGTCAAATCAATATCAATGAGAAGATATAAAGGTGTGCACACCCAATGAGACATGAACTTGTGAAGAGTAATCATTCTAATATTTATGAAATCTTAGCAATGCAGAGTTGATAAATGAATTAAAGAGCTTTCGAAGAAAGCCATGAGACATGAATTTATAAAAAGATGATTAATTTCATCAGTGAGCTTTCGAGGAAAGTCAAGCTTTTAACAAAAGCTGTCTCAAGAACTATCGAGGGGGATGGGCCTAAGCCCGCAAGGGAATTACCTATGGAGGTAACCCAACTTTTGTGATTGGGGACCCCATGAAGGAAGTTTATGCAAATTCCATAATTTTACAAATATTTATTAACAACATCATTATAAAAACACAATATAACAAGAATTCAATCAAATATATAATACAGTAATATGCGATAAAAACGGTACAAAATAGACAATAATAAACTAGAAAGAGCTGGCTTCTGATATCTGAGAGGCGTTTGATCACTGTCCTAAAACAGGTATACTTCTCCACGTGAAGCTACTAACAGACATATGCAACTCCAAGATCCAACTCAAATATGCTCCCAGCAGCACCTCCTCAGGGGTCACGTCCACTAAAAGGTTGGGGTAAATCTGACTCAAATCGAAGTTGCCCAATAACATAATTGGAAGATACATCTACAATATATATGGAAAAAGTATACATACTACAAAAAATATATTCTCATTAGATCATATATATATGTTTTAGAATGCTAGCCATTAAAGGCTTTTAAAGTCCACCATCTAGTAACTTCCACCACATAAAGGCATTCAAATGTCCAATTAAAACAAAGTATAATTACTCACTTAAATCATATAAAAATCTAATTAAATCATAAATTAAAAGTGATCCATTAAAACATATAAAATAAATTAAATGAGAAATTTTAAAACTTTTATTTTTCAACAACATTTAAAAAGAAAAGTAGAAGCAGAAGTGCAAGGACTTTGGCGTGAGTGGAACTCACGCGTGAGTGGTTTCAGTCATTAGTTCGAAATAGGTAAAATTTTTGAAACAATTTGGGATGCGAAAAGCTCAACATAATTTTATGTCTTTGTAATATTCAAAATATTTTGTTCCTTAGTATATAGATTATAGAGATTTGAGTGTTGGAGAGCTCGGTTTGGAAGGGATAAAAGGGGGAGAAAGAACTCTTATTTTTGTTGAGAGTGGTAGGGGAGTGATTGAAGGCGTGAATAAGGGTAAACAAATATGAAAACTTTTAGGCGGGCAAAAAAAAAATTCAAGACTCATTTTAATCTATTGGATTAACTATATTAAAATAATTTAAGCCGTTTTTTATGTTAAGTTATCGTTGTCCATAAGATGAAATGAGCCTTTTTTGTTTTTGGGATTTCAAAATCCCTTCTACTTTATTATATAAATAAAAGTTAATCTCACTTTTGCACTCTGAATAATGCTTTGAATCTTATTTTACACCCTCAATATTATGATTTAGTAGTAATGTGGTTCTCGCCCAAACTATTATTCAATGTTTCGTCATAAATTGAAGCACGCTAGTTGTAGGTGTTTCGGGCAGGTGCTTATGTGTTAATTCACAAACTATTAGTACCTCATGTGAGTTATACATAATAGGGTTAGCCTCTATTTGATTGATGAAACTCTATTTTCAATACAAAATGATCTCAAATTGGTCGCTGATGAAGATTTGCAGCGGTAGACATACCTCATTTTCATGTCCAAGGTACTTGACCCTCACGTATTTTAATTTATGACAAAAAAATGAATGGCGGTCTCGTTCAGGTCGATATTACTGCCAATTCATTACATTAAAAGTGTAAATTAAAATTTTAAATATTTAAATGTACAAATTGAGGATTGAAATATCTTTCGGGTTGCAAGTGAGATTAGACCTATCAACAATCATTTACACGGGAAGATGGGAAAGGCATGCTACCATCATCAAAAAGAGACAAATAGAAAAGAAGAACAGTACACAAAAACAATGAAAACACTGCAAACCAAGGAGGGAGGGAGAGAGAGAGAGAGGTCCTCTTCACAAGCATCAACCACAACAAAAGCATGGAGTACCAACGTGATTTCATAGCTAAATTATCCTACTCTGCAGCCATGGCAGTCAGCAACACGAGCATCATTATCGTTTTTAGTATGATCTTCTTCGCGGGTCATCTCTTTTTCAAGCACCACCACCATGGCCACCACCTTCCTGCCTTAATCCACCACCGCAACAAGTGCCAAACCCTATACTGCTCGATATGCCTCCACGATGTAGCCGGAGGCGAGAGTTACAGGAAACTGCCCAAGTGCCACCACTGCTTCCACGTTGACTGCATCGACGCCTGGTTTCAATCCAATTCGACATGCCCATTATGCAGAAGCCAAATACCTCATCTTCCTCAGCAGAAACAGGGCAGTTTTTCCTCTTATTTGCCCTCGCTTTCTCTCAATTTTCTCAGGAGAATGGGTGAGTCTCCGAATTATGAGCTTATTTTCCCCGATATTTTTTTTTCCTTTGAATAAATATTGAGTCTAACGATGATACCACATCAAAATGACAGAGATCATCAACTAATTATAAAATAACAAATAGAATTAGTTATTAGTAGTTAGTAAAACAATAGAGTCCACTAAGTTTACTTGCGATTCTATCATTAGTTTGTGACACCACATCATCAATGTCTGTGGTGTCACCGTTACGTCCAATATTTTTTTTCTTTCTTAGAGGTGTTCTTTTCATTTTTCAATGTTTTTTTTAAAAAATTTTATCATGTACCTTATGCATCCACTTGTTATTTTAATTTTTAATTCAAATGTAAATAATCTTTTTTTGTAGAATAGTTCCTAAATCCCAACATTGACAACAATTAACATTTCACTTACAATATCAATCACATCATAACCAAATCAAACAACAACAACAACAACGCAATTCTCAGATTAAAAATTCATAAATTTTACTAATAAGTGTATAGATATATACACATATAAACCTATAAATAGGATGGATTTATACAAAATAAACGCTACTTTTTGCTTGTTTGCTTTTTATTTAAAAAAAATATAAAGTGAAAAAAAATACTTTAAAAAAAATTACCAAATGGTGTCATTTTCGCCATATTTTACCCAAATTAGAGCTCTGATCTCAAGTTCCTCTATGCCCAAGGGCGGAGCCAGAAATCTTCTCTAATGGGGGCAACAATAGTCAAAATTTTAAATGTTCACAAAAATATATTTTTATTAATAGAACGTCAATTAAAAGTACAACTCATATACATGAGCGATATAGAAAAAGAGCCAACAAAAAGAAATAAATAGATCTTTAGACATTACATAAGTTGTTACAAAGTCCTAATCTATCTAGTTGTCACACCCTAACTAACTTGGATGCACAATGACAGATTTTGGTGGCACCTTGCACTAAAGCACGTCATGAGATGAAATCAAGGTGATGCGGCTAAATGGTTCGACAAATTTGTGTTGACTATAGTAGCATAAGACCATTCGATTAAGCATGACAACACGTAGTTGACTCAATTAAGGCAATGTTGGTGCATGACTTCGAATTGCATGGCATAGGCTTGACCCAACATACAAACTTGTTCGTGGGTAAGGTTGGCTGCTGAATTATAGGCATATGGCTGCTCAATACATCTGACCAAGATGGTGTAGGTAGTTGTAGACATTCTTAGCCACAATCTGGTCTAGGTGCATGCAGTTAGAGTGGTTCCACATCACATGTTGAAATGGTGGAATTGTGTGGCAAGTGTCGCGCAGAAATGCAACCTTGCTGACCAAGTCTGCTAGGGAATAGACAGAATATTATAACAACCTCTTGATAGATGAGAGTGTCATATGTCATGTTCTTACATAAATAGAGGTGTTTGGACAATCTGAAGAGGCAACGAGTTCTTGCTTAGAGTTGAGTTTCCTTATAATTGTAGAGAGCTTTAGTATAAGATTTGAGAATGTTTTTCTAGTAAATTCGTGTGTTGTCCTTGTGTGAGTTTGTACGGCCCTATTTTCGAGTTTGTGTGGCTGGTTGCAGTGAAAAACAAGTAGTACCCTGTGACACTAGTCATGATACTTGAACAACATGAGCAAAATATGGCGCAGCTAAGTAACATAAACCCATTTTTACTGAAATCAATATTTGAAAATGCATAAATTTGCAAGTCTACTTGGTTGGTGAAATTCCTACTTTATGCAATGTCATGTTGTTAGTTCAAACTCTCTCACCAAATCCCCTCCCCTTTTTCCTGTGATAGTGTGAATCATCGTTACATAGCCAAAAATAAAAAAAAACTGAAAACTACTCATAATGACAGTTTATTGACAAATAATTATTTCTGGAATCACTTTCTTATTTTTCATATGGCTATTTCAACTATGTGATACCTATCATTACTTGCTTTGCAGGACTTGACTATGCCGTCCTTGAAATTTTGGCTGAAGACAGTGGAAGAAATTTGACAGTCTTTTAATTGAAATTTCTAGCGGTATTTTTAGTCTACAATCAAGCTATATTGCATGACTGCGTATATCATAATTGGGAATGTATGACTGCAAATTTTGTTACTTCGAAAATTTTATGATTATTGCAGTGTAGTTTACTATAAGTTCTTGGATTTAATTATGCACCAAGTAATAAAATTGGACATCATTGCTTGAAGAATAGTTAATGATTGGGTAATCTTAGTTTAAGGAAGAAATAAATATTATGTTGACAAGAATCGGCATTTATTTGAGGTTTTTTGTTTATTACGTAGTGTATTTAAGTACGAACAATTACTAGGTCATCTATATAATAGAACATAAACCTTCTGAAAATAGTCCCCTTTTTTGTACCAAAAAACATGGAAATCATACCGATACTTCCTTGTTTCCTGATTGTAAAATAACAATAAAATCACCATCAATAAACAAGAAGAAAATAGATTTACATCTGGTACTCTCTCATTATATACAATAGGAATGCAAAAGGTAATGAAGACAATTGTGCATATATCCGAACGTAAAATAAATTAATGCGGACAAAAGAATAGGAAAAGGAAAAAAATACCTTTCATCAAAAAGCTGTTCTTATCTTATCAATGAAACCAAACGAGGAAAAATGCACTCACTATAAAGTTACTCTACATTTTAAGACAGCCTTCCAAGCCTATATATGTAAGCAGAGTAATGCTAGATCTGACTTAAAACAATGACCTGTTGATATGGCTGTTGAGATGTATATGCCACATCATCTAGTTTCCCTTTGGGTTGATGCGAGGAGTAAGGCTGCATATGTGGAATTTGGCGATGTCATTACTTTTGATGATGTGGCATATACATGTCAGCAACCATGTCATCAAGTTGTTGTTTTTAAATCAGATTTTTAAATATATCTAACATTACTCGTATAAGTATACAGGCCCCACACGCTTCCCTTTCATCGATGTATTCAAATATCATTTTCTGCCCCATGGGAAGCAACAACAGCCCTGGAGAAAGAAGAGTGAGGTCAACTAAGTTGACAAAATTAATGGAGTAAATGAAGCACAAATACAGGGTCTTGGCAGATGTTGAAAGTAGCCAAATAAATGACCAAGTTTATAAGCAAAGCAAAAGCATAGACAAGACGCGAAGGAAAAAATATGAAGTTTTACTAGAAGGGATGTGCATACCTTTGAATTGTCAGTTTCATAACGCTTCTGACCGTTGGAATAAGAAGTTTCAGTTGGCATGATAGGTACCTTCGTTCCTGCACCAACCTGTCTCTCCTCTCGCACTCTATTAAAAATGTGAGTGAACCCTTCAGCTGATGCAGGGTCACTCTCATTCCAATCACCGAATTTTGGAACAGCAGGGCTGCGATCAGGCTGCCATATTTGAATTCATGTCATACTCCTCAAAAATGAAGCATAGCAGATTTGTAAAGTGGGGGAGTAATGTGCAAGTGTGTGTAAGCATTTGTGCTAAGTTCAGAACATAGGTAAAGTGATATAGGAGGAAAAAACTCACAGTTTCATCACCGCGAGTAACGGATCTCAATCGGGATCTTCCAGGAGTAGAGGGAGCCAGGCCATGACTACCATCGGATGAACCCTTTCTCTCCCACGAGGGAGAAGAAACTCCAATGCCTTTGCCTCCAACCCTTCCCTGGTGATGTGGGTGTAATGGTGAGTGTTCAATGCTACGATCAGACCCCCCACCTTGCCGTGTGACTCTCCTAGGGGTATCGCCAGCGGTTGTGCCACCATGACGATGATGAGGTGAGTCAACATTAGCTCTTCGGCCTACAGTGTCATGACGCACTGGAGAATCAGTTGGCCTCCTCAGATCACCTTCGTCCCGGCTTAGGCGGCGCTCATCCTTTGGTCTTAATGCATCTGGGCCCTTTGGTGCCTCTGATTCTGACGTACTGCTTCCAGATCTTGCACCACCATACTGTTGACGAGATGAGTCAATTGCAGCATTCTGAGGCACAGTGTCAGGATGCAAAGGAGACCCACTCAATCCCCTTAGCTCACCATCTTCTCGGCTTGTGTGACGCTTGTGCTTTGACCTTATCGCCTCTGATCCCTTTTGGCCCTTTAGTTCAGCCTCCTGATGCGAATGATCAGAAAACCTATCAGCATTATCTTGAGGATCATTTGGATTCATGTTACCACTTTTTCTGCCCTTCCTTGCATTATCAAAATAGGCAGTATAAGGGATATTTTCTTCACTTTCCCAGTTGCCAAATTTTGGTACTTGTGGGTGCTGATGCAAGAAGAAAGGACCAAGTTTATCAACACAGGCACAACAAACACAGACAACCATCAGATAAGCATACAAAGCACTGTCCATTAAATCAAAACGCAAGCTATGGTCTGTCTGATGTCACAAATAAGTAAATCCACAAAATTTCTCAAACTCCCAATTGTGTTGTTAAAATTTGAAGAATTTTTCCATTTTCCTGAGTCTACCTTCAAAGCTTTTTCCCCTAGATATGATAGGACATTATCCAACTGCACTAAGAAAGCATATAATGACATTATTTTGCAGCCTTCTATCATCAATATTTTTTTGTTTACTTTACATACACATCCAAGCATTTCAACATTTTTTTTTTTTGGTAAGTAAGCATTTCTACATTAAAGATGTTTTATATCCTTCAATTTTGTAAATAATGAAAAATATAGGAGAAAAAAGTTGAGATACCCTTTAAAACTTCCCCGGCCAAAAAATCATCAACCAAATCTTTCCAGACTCCATAGCCACATCCATACAAACTAAAGCCTTGCCAATCTCTAGTCCATGACAACTATGCATCTTATCTATCTCTCACATAACTTGTGGATCAAAAAGCACAAGAAATGGCTGTAAACTTGGGAAAGACTGACCTCTAATGAAACAGTGACTTCAGAATGTTTACAGCACTCACCGACAGTACCAAATATCTAGCTTCGGCTGAGGATTACTTAAATAAGCTTCAGATGTAGTTAGTTCGAGAACTGTGACTCACCCAGATTGGAAGTGTGATTTACAATCCCATTTCCGCCCTTACTGAAACAGCATCCTTGGATTCTGAATACAAACTTCCACTCAAAATCAATTTTTCCTTTGTGTCCAGCTCCCTCCGAATTCCAACACCCCCCCCCCCCCCTTTTTATTTTTTTGAAACAGGATACAAAGAATTAGAGCAAAAGATCGCTGATCTTCTGTTTCGAAGTTGGAAAACCCTAAACACTCATCCCAAGGGAATAATCAACACACCACCTTCTGACATAAAAGGTCTATAACGAGGTTTAGAAGACATCTCCACTCTATGAGCATATGCCGGCCATCAATTGGCAGAAACTTTGCAACAAGCAGATTGGATCAACACCTATCTCACCAATATCAACTTTCTAAGGAATCAGAAATGTAAATAGAGGAAAAATAAAAAAATCCAGAAAACAACCAAAAAAAAACATTGAATTCTCTAAACATTTCTCCTCAGTTTTAACACCTATACTAGCACATCATATTGCTTATCTGGTACCCTTCAAAACAAAACGACTAGGTGATTTTGCCTAGTGTATGCATTACGTAAGAACATATACTGTAGCAAACACATCTATAACAACTACCTGGAATCAAAATTGTTCGGGATGTGTTAATCATATAACAATTTGTCAAGAAAATGATTTAGCAAGGATTTCAGAAGTACATAAGAGAGTATCTAAGAGTTCATATTAATTGCGGTAAAAAGAAGGGCTTGGGTACTAGTGAATGTTAGGAAGAAAAAAATACAGAATCCAGGTAGTTATCCCAAAAGTACTTGGACTATATTTGCAATTATTCACTGTGGATCACTGAAGTACATGCAGTGAAACTGGATTGCATGCTTCAATGAATGGTAGCACTGGCGCATAATTCAGATTACAGACCTTCTTAATAATCAATAGAAAATGTAGTCACACTTACTACAGTTTCCCTATCATCCATCCACAAATAGCATCAACAGGTCCGCGGGATTGTTCTTCTACTATGCAGAGAAATTCAGCACCAACTAATATGCATGGATCAGCTCTGCACAAAGCTCATGGCGCGACCACCCAATAACCATAATGAACAACAACACATTACCAACAATTTTTAACCAGCTTCAACATCCATATATATGAGCACTATTAGAGGTCTCCTTTTGACCCTTAGCTTACTATCAACTATTCTAACATTGCCCAGGCATCTCAGATCAGATGTAAACATCATGAAGTTCAAAACTTTATATGCTTATCCACTAAATGAGAAAGAGGTAAAAATGGACTACCACAGTCAATCAGTCTAAAAGTCGATGTTAGAGTACTAAAATAAGATTTACTCATCACAAAGCAATGAGTTTTTGTTGCATAAATATAGAAATGTATGAATTGATATACAATATAATTTTATATTCAATACCCAATTATTTATAGCATGTCCTAGTCATGCTCCAGCCCTACTTTTTCAAGGTTTAGCATGTCAATGTTTCCATGTCGTAGTGCATCCGTGTCCCATGTCCATCTATATGATACATAGTAGAGACTGATGAAAGCAAATATATCATGCGCATCGCCCTCCGTCTGTGAATGGATGATTAGCTTTAACAGCATTCACTCTCATTATGCATGTCAATCCTCTGATGTATGTCCCGAATCAAAAACCATGAAGCTTTGCAAGCAATTTTATAGAAAAACCTCTAATTAAAGAATTATGTGGATGAAATGTGTGTTAAGGGTTGATTAAATACCATCTCTATAATTGACTTAGATGAATCATGACAAAAAATGAATATTAAAATGCTAAAATATATTGAGAAGTGAGAACGGTCAAGGGTTAACTGGACACAACTCAAATTTACTTCACCCACAATATCAGACCAAAATATAGTATGATATTCCAAGAGTAGGTTCACGAAAGAAAATTATAAAATTATGGTAAGAGACGTAGTGTTAGCTGATTGATAACTTGAACAGCACTCCAAAACTCAATGCTA